TAGGAAGCAGGTCGTCTGCCCACCTTAACTGCCTCTGGGCATTAGATCGAGTAACAATGTGAAAAGACAACAGGAAACATCACTTGGGATTAAGATTGCTCTGTTTGTATTTCATCACCAGTGCACAAGCACAGAGTCACAGTCAACAGTGTTTTTTTGTTTGCTATGTGTGGTGTGTGGGAGAGAATAAGGAAAAACAGAAGAACCTGAAAACAAAGTGGTTTTGTGTAAAAGTGTATGTGCAGAAGCCTTTAAGTGTGTTACAGCAGCCGGTGGGACTAGTTTTAGGGTCATTACTACACTTCCTGTATTTGATGTGGTCACACTTCAAAATTACTGTTCTACTTTTTCACACCTTACTATCCCTGCTTAGTAATTTTGAAGATTTTTCCTTAATTGTTGTCAGAATGTTCTTCAATAGAACTGAAAACACTTCATGTGTGTGTTTTTACCTGCATGTCTTTCTGTGAGCACCAATGTAGTGTCAGTGTCAGGGTTCACTCCACAGTGCCACCGCGCCAACCCATGCAGTCGTTTTTTTTTGGACATTGTACAGTAGCTTCACCCTTTTGAAATGTTGATATTTCTGTTTCTGTGCGACACTAGCGACCAGACTGGACTGGAACTTACATCCTGTAGCCTCGCTTTTTCTTTGATGTGTGCTGACGCTACACTCAGCCACTAGCTCAGGCCATCAAAGACACAGCACTTTATCAAATGAAGCTCCCGTCCGCGCTGTGTTACGCTTTTTTCTTCATCGCAAACACCCACTGTCGCGGCGATGCTACAGGAGACAGGGTGCCTTTTAAAAACCCTGTGGTGAGCTCCCTGTTATCCAGATAAAAACGGATTTAGTCAAATCTCCCATCAACCAACTCTATAAATAGAAGCATCAGGGAAATCTTCCATGAGGAAAAAAAAATAAGCTCCACTCTTAAGCTGTTATTAACATGATGATAGGAAAAATGTCAAACGTTATTTGGGAGCAGAGTATGACCAGTGGATACAAACATAATGCCTCTTAGTTGCACCGTTTGGTGATTGTAAGATTCACTCAATGAATAAATTATCTGGTGGAAAAACAAAGCACACAGTTGAATCACCCATTCTGATGTTGCTGCCGATGCAGCGCGACTGCAAAGTGAGCTGTAAGAGCAATTTTGCATCAGAACCTGTATACGTTGCTGCTCGAGGCCTCTATCATCTGACTTGATGGAGGCGAGCTACTTAATAAATCATGTGGAAATTTGGAGCAAGATAATCTCCAGACCTGAGCCCAACAGCTGAGAGCCTTCGTTTTGATGAGAAAACTGCCACCTGTTCTTTAGGGAACAAAGGCAGACTCTTTTTTCCTCGTAGCGCTATAAAATCTTATTTTTTTGAAGCTAAAGAAAATCTGGAAGTTGACTCGTTATTTCTGGTTCACTGTACTATGATGAAAAGCCCCTCCTTTATGTCTCAAGGTAAACGCTCTGAAGTATGTAGAATCCTCCTCTGGGATTTTGTCCTCTATCTTTCTAAACGCAGGCAGCTACGTGTTCAAAAGAGCTCCCACTGCTAACGCCTCACGCTACATATACGACTGATTATTCATTATGATCTTGCAACAAATGTTAATTTTATCAGATTATGATCAGAATATGGATGTGTGTGTATACGGTGTGTGAGGCACACACCACAGGCTGCACGCTTCCCTTTCCAAACCTTTCATTTAATTATACTCATAGTCCATTTTGAACAGTTACCAAACGTTGCATTGCTCTATGGGATCATTCTCATCCACAACACCTCTGAAAATATCAATACTTTTTGATTCAGGTGTAATATTTTATATGTTTGAGTATTGCTTCTTTTTTTTTACAACCAGGATTGAAAATCCTCCTCATAAATTACTTCAACATTTTCTAACATGTTGTGTTGCACATGGTTCATGTTCCAATCGTTCACAGCTGAATCCGTGATCCCAGTTGCTCCATGTGTCACAGATGCCAATAAAAGCTGATGGATGAGTCCACACTGACCACTGTGGGTCTGTATGTGGGGGACCGTGACGATATTGTATAACGACACCAAAGTATTTGCCTTTGGGTCTCACAGCCGATATATGCAGTATGTGTGTGTGTGTTTATGTGTGTTGCAATCAGCCATTTTGAATTCACAGCAATCATGATGCATTTTGAATTGCGACCAAATGACAGACAGCCTCTAGGTTTGTCTGCTGGTTTCTGCTGCCCTCCAGTTCGTCTGGCAGCTCTGTTCTTCAGAGTGACACATTTCTGAGTCAACTGCAGTTCTATGTACTGTAGCTTACACTGCTCTATGTGTGCTCTTTGTTTCATGGGCCATCACACTTCAGACATGCAATAAGGGCAGAGAAGGGCGTCAGTGACGTGCACAATTATCCCACATGATTGCTACCTTATCTACACATACAGTAGTCCATTACGTCTAGCTCAGCACTGAATAGCATAAAAAGGATGTATAGCATACTTACCTTCTTTAGGAGGACGCTTCACTTCTGCACTCAGATTGCAGACCTGCCCCGGGTGTAGCTGAGGAGACAAGCATCCCTCCGTTTGGGGATTCAAAGGTAAAACCACATTGTTGAGCATGAGCATACTCTCTGATTCTCCGTCGCCTAAATGCTGAGGACACGTGCATTTTGTGTACACGATCCCACACGTCTCCACCGTCCCTTTCTCTAACTTGAGGCAGTTTTCCAACCATGTACAAAGCACTTGACAGCCAAACTGGCTGGGACTCGCCTTGTTCAGGACCAAGAACTCCACGATGGATTTGTCCTCCTCATCCAGCTTCTGTGGCATCAATCCATTGTAATCGTAGGGAAAAACTCTCCGTAGCTGAACAAAATTCTTGTCATACAGCAAAAATACATAAATATTCTTTGTATCACACAGGTACACTATGGACTCGTTGACTCGCAGCAACGCATTGATCTTTTCATGGGAGTAATGGTCAAACTGATAAGCAAGCAAAGAATATTCGGAGCAGCTCAAGTCTCGCTTGTACAGTTTCAGGTAGATGCTGTATTTGGTAGGGTCTGGGTTCTCCAGCGTCCATGTACAGTTTGTATAGTTCTTGGGAAACATTTCAGTCACTGAATATGATCCATAAATGACCCCCTTTACCAGACTGGAACACCAATAATCTTGGGCACTGGATAATCCAAACATAACCAGGAGATAGGTGGAAAATATATAAATCAACAGGTTTCGCACAGCCTTCATCCTATGTCATTTGGCCTGCAGGGAGAGAGGGGATGGGGTAGCACAGAGAAAAAGTCAAACTGAGCACAAAGGAAACACAGGAGGTGAATTTCTATACATTTCTTATCAGTCCCTACTATGGAGAAATCAGTGAAGAGACACAGACTTTAACCTCAGCCTCGTGCCTTTTCATCTCAACACTGCCTTCTTCACTGCTATATGTTGTGCAAACATTGCCACCTTGTGGTCGCTTTGGCCATGGCTTTTTTTTTCATTATTTATTATTTGTTGGGGGTGCAATAATGTGAGTCATTTAGACCATATTAATTAGGTCGAATTCGGTGTGGCACTGTCTCGGGAGATGGTCAAACACGAATAATTTACGAAGAGCCAACACAAAACGCATCGTGCGTAAGTGAGGGGGAGCGCAGAAGCTGGGGCACGCAACTGCAGTCAGTCACCTTTTTATTTTTCACTCAAATCAAGCTGTTCGCCTCTGTGAGTTGGTGTGTTTCCTCACATGACTCCAGGATGTCATGTGAAAGAGTGAAAAATGTGCAGGGAAATGTGCGAACGCCTGGTTCACTGTGAATCCTCTGCTGGTCTCTGCCTCGAAACCATCACGACCTGCATGTCTCTGATATGCGGGACTCGACACATTTGACAATGCAATTTGATGGACAGCCCGTGTGAGCGTACGTGCGCGTGTGTGTCTGTTGTTGTTGCATGTGCAAGCTCTAAAGTGCGTTTGTGTGAGGAAAGAGGGAGAGAGACGGGAGAGAGACACCGAGAGAAAGAGTGGGAGAGAGCGAAATGCGATGTCCTGATTGCTTTAATCCTACAGGCAATGCAGCTGTGAGCTGTGTGTGCGTGCATGTGCGTGTGTGTGTGTGTGTGTGTGTGTGTGTGGGCGTCGAGCCCCCCCTTACTCTCCTTTAAAAAAAGAAAAGAAAAGCCAAGCAGGTCTACATAGAGCAGGGGCTGGATGCATTTGCACCCAAATGTGCCAAACTTCTTTTGGCGCAATGATTAAAATGTGAAACATTATCACATCAGAAACATAAATGTGTGTTATATAAGGATTTGTACGAGCAGCGTGGAGTGGAATCAGCTTTTCACTTGCAATCCATATGATTCCTCATCCTCCCGCAACAATGACGGCCAAGGCTGCGCGCAAAAATTAGTATTCTGGATACGATAAATCGGTTCGTCGTGAGAGGAGACGGCGATTTTTACTGCCGGGGCTTGTGTGCAATTTAGTCTCGGGAGGAATAATGACTATCGAGACAGTGGGTCTGCATCTCAGACAGTGGCAGTCGCACGCGCTGCTCTTTAAAGTGATTTTTTTGCCTCTTAAAAGAAGGAGAGAGAAACACAGCTCGGCGTCTTATGAACAGGCATCTCCTAAGCATTTATAGGTGAGGGTGGATGAAATCTCCTAAAGCCAGGGTTTGGTGAATGCGGGGCAAAATGAGTAACAGGAGGAGGCTAAACTTTACCAGGTGATGGATGACACATGAAGAAAGGCAGATCCACGGTCTCCATACAATAATAGTAATAGTAATAATAACAATAGTAATATAAATAATGATAATATTGATAACAATAATAATACTCTTACCTTACACTGCGGTAGCTATGGCTATTTTTCCAACATACTTGACCACATCCTTCATAGATAAATTCTGCAGCCCCTCAGTGAATCGATACTCCCCATTGCCAAGTCCGGCGCAACAAGAAGGTCTTGGTTTCAAATGGATGAAGAAAAATAAAATATGCGTTTACACTCCGGTCTGTGCGATCATATCCCCACTGTCTTCTTCTTCCTCTTCTGGGTTTTTCCCATCAAAACGGAGCGCAACAACACACGACAGCCACCGAAAAGAGAGGGAGAGAGAAGGATGCTGAGAGGAGAGTGATGAGAGAGGGAGAGAGAGAGAGAGTGTGAGAGAGAGAGAGAGAGAGAGAAGGAAGGAGGGAGAGAGAGATAGAAAGAGAAATTCTTGGAGTGATGGAAAGCTATTCTTACAGTATTACCATAAATTAAATCGGCCGACACCGCGTCGTTAATTTCCACTGATATGTTTTTCTCCAACAAAAAACGCGTGGTAAAGCAGCTCCCCTACTCTGGAGGAGGGATAGGAGGATGGACGGAGGACGGAAGGAAGGAAACAGGGATCCTGGTGTGGGTGGATGTGAGGTGTTGGGGCTTCGTGAGTAACAAACAGCAGAGGACGAAGAAACAGACGCGCTCTGCGTTGCCTCTGCTCTGCTGGCTGCCTGCACAGCTCCAGGAGCAGGCTGCAATATCACGTCACACACTCAGATAACGCACGTACCTACGCTCCTGTCGCTGCGTCTGGCACCACCACCACCATCACCACTTTCTTCCCAGCCCTCCCCTGACTTTCCTTTTCCTTTTTTTCCCCTGTCTTCCTTCTTCAGCCCTCACGCAGCCCTCCCCTTAATTCGAGTCAAAAGGGTTTCCCCCCTGAACCGGACCCTCTCACTCACACAGTCGTGCCCAGAGAACGCGTCTCTCTGCGCTTCTGCTGCAGCAGCACCAGGCAGCGATCACTTGCAAAAAGGAATACTTCTTGGGATGGAGGGTAAAAGTCAAGCTGCGCTCTTTATCAGTGGGACATGAAAACTTTGGTCGTTTTTCCCTCTTCTCTCCTGACGGAGGACTAAAAAACAGCCGCTGTTTCCTGAAGGGGGGCGGGGAGGGGGCTTTTCTCCGCAGCCTTTTGCGCTGCTGGAGGGACAAATGCTCACAGGGGCAACTTCTACTGCTCTCTCTGGAAACTTTATTGGTTTTATCATTATATATTTATTTTTGCACCTTACAGGTGCAACCCCCCTCTTCCCCTTCTTTGCTATGGCCTCAGACATGATGGATGTCTATGTTTTCACACTGTTTATTTCAGGTAAGACAAAGGGACTCTTATAGGAAGACACGGTTGTGATGTTTCCCTTGTTTGTTTGTTTTTTTGCTCTCAATCGTAAAATAAATCACATCATTCTTCAGTCCGGGCTTCTGCAGTTCCTTCACAGACAGTTCAGCATGCCTCTGCAACAGCCTCCAGTGAAGAACTGCTGAAACGTATGCAGCCATATGCTGAGAACTGCGTCCAACTAAAGATGAAGTAAAAACACCTTTTCTCTGGAAATCCAGTTCAAATAACCCATAAGATTCATGGTTATAGGTCCATCATTTTTACATTAATTACAAAGAGGGCAATGAATGTTGTAATTGTGGTTTATGACCTTGCCACATGTTAGAGGTCTGTTCATTTGCATATTAAATATTTACTTGCATGGTGAATCAGAGACACGAGCCGCTACAGAAAGCATTAGTTCAACCTCACACTTTCATTTTCTTCTTCTTCTTTCTTTGGACATTTTTTTTTGTCAGCTGCCCTAATTGTTTTTGCTGTGCACAGTTAGTGCTCATTAGCCTGCCCATATTATTCCAGCCATGTGTTCCACCCCAGCAGATGCTGCACTATTTGTTTATTTATTTTCAGGAAATTTGAGTGTTAAATTATCTGCGAGCCAAAAGAAGTCTCAAGAAATGCAGAGATGGTTATCAGCCACAACGGAAGAATTTGTTTTTGTCTCCAACATCTTTGCAGCACGCAGTGTTTACAACACTGTCAATCTGCTGCCAGACCTATAAAGCAGACTGGAGTTCTTCATCGTGATTGGTCGATGCCTGTAGCCTGTCTACTTCCTGTCTTTCCCAATGCAACTTGAGGGCTGAACCCAGAGCAGCCCCCTTTTTCAGGGGCCATAATGAAGACTTTAGAATTTCTGGAGCGTTTGGCTCAATAAGGTCGGAGCTGGAAGGAATTCATTCAAAAACAAATTGAATGGTGAAAACAGAACAGGCATCTCTCCACTGACTCCCTCACTAGGAGGCCAAATGCCAAGTGTCAGGAATGGTGCCATTACTCTCCTCCAGCAGAAATGTTTCCAGATACCACATGGTGCCTGGTATGATTTCCACAAAGATGGACTGAATAGAAGAAAATGATTCTGTAGTCAAGGCTGAATCATAAATGATGACATGACTGGGAAAACAGAACTGGAACAAATGATGCCTGCTTCATTCTGCAATTTGCAATTACAGTGTGTTAAAATGGTCGGACATAAACTGCGCTTCCTGCCACAAAGTGCAGGTCTCCACAAACACATAAGGCCTTGAAATGCCCCTTTAATCTTGGGGTGTTTACTATAAAGAAAAAAACGATTTTTCTGCAATGTGTACAGATAGTGTCATCAACATCAACGTGTGTTTTGACTGTATGTCAGAGCAGTGGTGAGTGGATAGATGGTGGAACTGTTGGATAGACAGTGTGTGTTTTACTGCCTATGCATAAATAATGTGTTCATTTGATTAATTCCACAAATGTATTGAGGTGATTTACGTTCATTTTGACAGCCCTTTCTAACAGAATATGATGCCAAAAAAACAACAACCTTATCCTCCACCTAAGAGGTGTCTGGGTTTCACTTAATTTGATTTAATATACAGAGGTAACATCGTTGTTAATAGAATATGAAACTCTACCCTCTTAGAAAATATTTACTACAGTTGGTTTTTGAATGACTCATTACTTCGTGGGCAGACATCTTTTCAGGTCACCTCCTAAACCACTGTAGCACTTTTAATCTGTTCCAGTGCAATCTCTGAATGTAAAAATGTCCATGTCTATAGTCTTTTCTACTCCCACTTCATACCTAGAGCAGAAAAAAATGGATTCAAAGGCATAAATTCATGAAGCCCCCTGGATTCTCTAAAATATCTTGATAACAGCAATGTTTTAAGCTGAGTGGTTGCACAGACTACAGATCAATTTATCTCCTGCAGCAATCTCTAAAACATTTGTGATCCTTTTCATCTCATTGCAGCAGCAGAGTGTCACATTATTCTGTCAGCTCAAGAATGTGTTTAAGAACATGGATGTTGAATTATTCATGACTTCGCATAAAGAATAGATCTATTATCACCTGCTCGTGTTTGTGTGAGTGAG